GTCGACCCGTCCTGCTTCGTTCGCGGTGTAAAATGATAAATGCGAAAGATGGACTGCGTAAAGATCCAGCGGTCTTTTTCGGCAGTGGCAAAGAAAAATATGCAACTACATGCCGCAAAAAAAAAAAAGTTGAGCAAGATTGTCGTAGTAAAAAGAACACCGGTTCTTCCACAACCCGGGAGCCCAACCCACTCTTGTATTTCGACCTACAAGACTCCAATCGACACAAGCACCGGTAGGACAGTGCGTGGGAGATGCCGTGACAGCACAACTCCACTCTCCTACGACATCTATGTACAGTAATACTGCTGTCGTTGTAGCACCATGTGGAAGATCTCCGAGGGGTCCTCCTGCGCGGTAACGACAAAACATGGCGAGAGCTCTACGTGTCCCTGTGGTCGACACATGTGGCACCCGCGCGACACACGAACGGATGTTTGCATCGCAATGTACTATGGTTCGCCGTGGCAGTATCCCATCCGGTTAGGTCGTTGCGGTAGCACGCGGACGTCGTTCGGCGTCTAGTCCATACTGCTGTTGCAAAATCACAGCAGTAATCGAGCTAGGCATGCAATTTTTTGCTCTGGTTCACTATTGCCTCCACAACCCGAGAATCTCACGGCTGTATCTCGACCTACAAGACTCCAATCAACAAACCAGCACTGGCAAAAGTGCGTGGAAGATGCTGTGACAGCACACCTAAGTCGACACTCGGCAACTTCTATGTACAGTCGGCGTCTGGTCCATACTGCTGTAGAAATACAAAAATCGAGCCGTTTCTTTTTTTTTTCCATACTAATTCATACTAATTCTTTAGCTTCAGTCTCATATTTCAATATCCGTGGGTGGGTGGGTGGAACTTTTATTCGCATAGCCCACCCCTTGCCCGACCCGGTCTAAAATGCTGATCTCGAGCTAGTGCAGTGCAAATCTCGTGGCGCCTCGAGTATGGTTCGGTGTGGAATCGCAAATCATGAGCCGTCCCCGAGTTTGAGCAGCTTCCACCTCCTGTGGCCGGCAAGAGTGGGCCTTGACCCTTCCTTGCCTGTTTCGCCATGGAAACAGCCGGTTGAACAGCGAAAGAGGGTCCGGCGTGCTGCGCGCCCCATTTTTTTTTGCGTTTGTTCTTGAGTGGCCGTTGTGCACATGCGGCGGCTGCTGCCGCGGTTGCTGCTGTTATACTCGGAATGTGCTGCAATGGTCGTGAGGTTATCGTTGTCAGGTTTGACAACAGTCTGCTCGTTCGTGTAGCGGTAGCAGTGCGCATCTACCGCGACGGCAAGCGCATTGAGACGATAGTTCGTCCGTCGTGCTTCTAGTTACACAGATAGTGGTGTTCTTCTTTGTTGTCACTTCATACCACAAAAATAGAGGAATGCTATGGCGGCTGCGCGCAGAATCTACACAAAATACTATAATGGGCCGTGACTGTTCGATGGTTACGGCGCTAGGGGTCTCGAAGTATCGAACCCTTCCCTGTTTGCCCTCTAGAGTGATCGAAGAGGCGGCGGATATGCCGCATCTACGAAGAAGAGGACAACTTCAACTTGTCCCTTCGCGACACGTTCTCACGAACGTTGTCAACAACCACCGGTGTTTATTAAACACCCCCAACGTGGATGAAAGTTAATAAAGCCCGTTAAAGTGCATATATCACCCGTCAACCCGCTAACAACATGTCTATCACATGCCTCACTATGCATGTTAACATGAGCGAACGGGTGATTACCGTGTGGGCCGTTGGTGAGTAAATGACGGTCGAATTCGGCACGACGGTCGTCAGCAAGCTGCTACATTGTTTGCCAGATACCGACGAGAGTGGAGACCATCATGGAAGAGACACGTGATCCAGGTGAGCGCCCTGCCCCTCCCACCTTGCCCACACTGTTCCCAGCCCCGAGGAATACGGTCTACGCACGAACTGTACTCAGCTACGAAAGGTGAGAGAAGTCTACTTTGTATGAGCGCTTTCCTTTCTAGCTGTTTTAACAGGAAGTCTCAACCAATTGTCTCCACAGTTCGGAAAATGCGGCTGCTACTACTACTGCTGTGGAAATGCTCGGAAATGTGGTGCACTGGTTGTACGGTTATCGTTGTCAGGTTTGACAACAGTCTGCTCGTTCGTGTAGCGGTAGCGGTGCGCATCTATCGCGACGGCAAGCGCATTGAGACAATAGTTCATCCGTCGTGCTTCTAGTCTAGTCTACACAGATAGTCGTGTTCTTCTTGTTGCCACTTCATACCAGAAAAAAATGAAAGTCTCCACAATTCGGGAACGACGACTATTTTCTTTTGTTTTGTTTGTTGTTGAGCGCACATCTGATGTTGCCATTCGTTACACGTGTTTAAGTGAGTGTCTTCTCGAGAGTTCATGCCTTGTCTTCTCGAGTCTCTCTTCCGTTAGTCTACCTCTCTCTCTCTGTCGCATTACGCCGTTAGGGTCCTAACAACATCGAACGTCAACGAACGGCAATCGTTTTTCTTCTTGCGGAGTAGGGGGCTCCCCGTGTACCGGGCTGCTGCGCGTGGGGTCGCCTCAAAAATTCTATTCTTCTTTTGCTTTTGAAACGACTTCTTCAAGGATGGGTAATTGTTGTTGTCGTCTTCACATTAAAAACCGTTCCGATCTCTCTCTACCCAGTACCTTCGTATCTCCGTACTGATCCACACTCGACGCGGTCGGTAATGAGAGGTTCCAATTCAACTACAGTCGGTAGTCCCCTTTAAGTTAATTAATAATAGCGGAATGCCCTCTATAGCGGCACCAAAATCGTTTGGCACAAATGCATTTCTCGGTACAAATCTCTTATAGGAATAGCGGCACTGCCCTCTATTGCGGCACAAGAAAAAACCTCTTGTCACCGACCGTATTTAACTTACTGGAGTATGAGGGCGCTCCTTATTCTTATTCATCACATGCATGGCATGTACCTGTAGGGCACGTACCTGTAGTGGGGGACAATATGTATGTGTCACAACCCCTTCCATCAACAATCACAGCTAATATTGATAGTCCACGACGACGAGGATGATGGATGTCAAACGATACGATTGTCTTCGGAAAGTTATCGGTTCCAACGTCGCCCGGCCACGCTTTCTGCTGTGGAGTAATCGAGTTTTGAAAATTATCAAGTATTGAGGGGGTGTGATATCTTACATATGTCATCTACTCTGTGACAGCTTTGTCCTGCTCGGTGAGAGAGCGTGTCGCGTTGTTGTGGGCCCTCGACATTATTAACCGCTGAAAATTGGGGAGCTTCAGGCAGGCAACGCGACGATACTCGTCGAGTTGCTATCACAATAACAAGTAATGTATCACGTCACGACGACCATCCTGTGAGTATATACATGTCATCCTGTGAGTATATATATAACATGATGCTCATCGTTCGATATCCGTGGGTGGAACTTTCATTCGCATCCCCAACCCCTGGCCCGACCCGGTCTCAAATAAATGCTGATCGGGCTACAGTGCAAATAAAATCTCGTGGCGCCTCAAGTATGATTCGGGAGGGAATCACAAACCATGACCCCTCCCCGAGTTTGAGCAGCTTGCACCTACCTCCTCTGGCCGGCACGACTCGGCCTTGACTGCTCCTTGTCTGTTTCGCCATCGGAACGGCCGGTTGAACAGCGAAAGAGGGTCCTGCGTGCTGCGCGCCACCATTTTTTTTTTTTGCGTTTGTAGTTTTCTTCCTGGGTGACCGTTTTACACATGCGGTTGCTGCTGTTGTGCCCGGAATATATATGCTGCAAAGCTCGCAAGGGTATCGTCTCTGTCGCTTGGGCTGCACGCTGTGCGAATTACTCAATTATTTCTCTACTGTGTCGATATCGATGAAGAAACCAACGGCAGCACGGTTGAAGGTACAGCCAACAACAGACGGTCCGCATTCGACATTTTTTATTCTCTTGCTGCATAGTATGTGCATGGGTGGTAAAGCATCGTTAGTGTGTTGCACCTTGAGGTCTGCTGCGTAGTCGTAATTTGAGCGATAAGGCAGATGGCAGCACAATCTCATTTACGTAGTGATGTATGATAACCAACAGTCTGCTCGTTCTTGCAGCGGTGCGCATCTTTCGCGACGGCAAGCGTATTGAGATAATATTGTAGTTCGCCCGTGGTGCTTCCATGTATAGCAGTCATGTTATTTTTTGTTTCGGCACACTTCAAACCACAAAGGAAAGAAAGTCTCCACAGTTCGAAAACGGCGACTTAGTTTTGTTAGTTATATTTTTGGCTGGTGTTGTTGCTGAGCGTACATCGGATGTCGCCGTTCGTTACTCGTTTTTGATAGCCTTCTGTGGGCCACAGGGACGAGAGTGAGTGTCTTCTCGAGAGTTAATGCCTTCTCGACGTTCGATTCTTTTGGTCTACAGTACCTGTTTCTCTCCCGACTGTCGCCGTTGGGGTCCCAACAACATCGAACGTCAACCGCAATCGTCTTGTTTCTTGCTGAGTGAGGCTACCCGTGTACCCGGCTGCTGCATGTGAGGCGATGGGCGATGCCTCTTAACGTCAAAAAATGGGCATCGCCCTTACTGTTTGCTGCATTCAGTGCTGTGTGACAGCTTCCAGCGGTTCAGAGCGGCGACGGTGGCTTTTCTATACTCTCCTTCGCCACCTCCCGGAAACCTGTCGCGTCCTGCTCACTTGTCTTTGTTCTCCCTTTTTTTAATTTCGGTTTTTATTTTTAATGCTTTGCTTTTCGGGGTCCGCCGGTCACCCACCCACCCATTATTTCAGTCCTAATTTTCAATTATTTTTTGTTGCGAGGGGGTGTTCGCTTGCCATGTCTATAAAACTGGGCGCACGTTTCGCAATTCTGAAGTCTCATCGTTCGAGATCCGTTCGGTGGAGAACCGCAAATAAATCATGACCCAACCCCGAGCTTGAGCAGCGGTTTACGCCTCCCGTGGCCGGCAAGCGTCGACCTTCACTGTACCTTGTCTGTTTCGCCATGGGAATGGCCGGTTGAACAGCGAAAGAGGGTCCTGCGTGCTTCGCGCCACAACCTTTTTTTTTTGCGTTTGAGATTTTCTTCCTGAGTGGCTTGGATCTGAATTAGGAATCCCTATGGAGACAACCCCACTCACCAAGAGAGAGAAAAACTCCCGGAAAACAGCATGCTTGACCCTCCTACATGAATAGTAGAACACAGTAGCACACAGTTCCTCCGCAAAGAAATGTCTAGGGGCTACAGGCTCTCCAAAGAATCTGAATTCCAGTATGAAAAAGTGTCCCCCAAAACTTCTTTTCATACTGCACCCAAGTCGGCAACTTCCATTATCAGACGATGTACAGTTTTACGACTCGGGCTAGGGACAGGCGGGTTGACGGGAGTTGAGCACAGCAAGTCTGAGGCGGAGGAGAGGCATCACACATACAATACACACCGTACCATCTGAGCCAAAACATGATAGACCAACGATTCTCACGTGTGCTGCGCACAGTGGAGCCTAGGGTGACAACTGTGCGGTAAAAAGCATTTCATTGAGTTCTCTGTGCCGAAAGCGTCGCCATCTGGGTATCCAATATTAGGAGGGTAAGCCTCGGCCAAAAAGAGGTTCTTTGACCAGAGATACTCTTGTGGGAAGAAAGGTCCCCAAGAATAACCGCCGTAACAAAGTTCTCCCAGTTAATTACAACAGTGTTGAACGCCTTTGAGGTCGTCGGAAACAATCATCTCAAGCTGGTTGACGGATGGATCCCACTTGTTGTAAACCGTGTAAGCATTGCTTGTTGTCCGCCATTCAATGCCGTACACCTGTCTCCGGTACGACAGGCACAAAAGCGAATGGACGGGTGGGATATGTACGGGGAGGGGTTAGGGATACCGAGGAGAGGAGAGGCCTATCTGCAACGGCCATATGCGTTGATGCTCAATGCGATAGATGATGTTTCTGGACACATGACACTCTATGAGGAAGACCTTTTCCATATCGCATGTAGGACTGCCGGTGGACACACTAAACGGGAGAGATGCTGGGGCAATCGTCGTATTCTAGATGTAAAATACCTGAAAAACACCATCGATTACACTGATCTCCTTCGGAATAGAGGTGATTTTCAACACAATATTTCTCTTGTGGTTGCCAATGCCAACTGAGACGACCGATTCTGGTGAGGGACATTTCGGATCAAATATACAACGCACCGCGGTTTGTCTCTAAGTGGGAGCAGTCGACCAGGGATAGACAACAGGAAGCCGAACTCTCACCTCAACCTCGGGCCTTTGGAGGCAAATCATCGAGGCACTAACGAAGCGGGGAATCATCATATCCCCAATTTGTGGTTCACACCCCCACGGCAGAAAGAACATCTTGGCCCTCGAGTGCGCCAACAGGAGATTCGTAAGCGTTGAATGTGCAACAGATAGGGCGTCCGCGCACAGCATCGCCTGCAGATCTTCCCAGAGTGATCGTTTCTATGTTAACGTAGGGAAGGTCGCAAGAGAAAATGACTGGTTAGGGACCACATTTTTCGCAGCTACCGCGGTTGGTACAGTGCTCCCATAACTCGTCGGCACCGTGATACACGGTCGGTTAGTGTAAACCAGAAGACAAGATTGTTATACACTTTTGGTGCGAGTATGGCACGCTTTTGGTGGTAGGTGGCAATCAACGTGTACGTTTTCCGTGCATATCCATGTTGGATGTGACGAAAAGCAAGCGCTTCGGCGCCGTGGAAGCAGTATCACCAAATATACTTCGTATACACTCTCAGGATGGTCGTCGTGTCGTGACACCATTCTTGTGATTCAGTACATGGATATCCGAAGGGGCTCCAATATTTGGTTCTTTGGTACAGCAGCATGTACCAAACATCGACCACCCAACAGCGTGTGCCTAGCGTGGTGCGATTATTACCCTTTCGGGAAGTGAGGGTTCTCAACCCCGCACAACAATTCTACTCTACCACCATTCATTTTACCGCAAACAAAAAACCAAGGGCGATAAAATAAGCGGTATCCTCGTGGTCGAGGTCACGAAGTGATTGGCTTGGTTTTCAACATCGCTGCCAGGCGACGACAACCTAACTCCAATGGCAAACACCGGGGACGGCGTCTTGATTTTGCGAAGTCGTTGCCAGGCGACCATAAACTCAACCCCGATGACAAACACCGGGGGGTAGGAGAAACAGCGCAGGGGAAGGTAACAAGAGGTTCCTTTGTCACACCCACATTTTACTCGTTTTAGCTCCGCACCTCGCAACACACGCTCTCTGTTGTCGTGATGGGTGAATATGTTCAAACGACGTTTCTACACCCCCCCGGACGGGTATTTTGTAGAATCCCCCACCGGTTGGTTAAAATAGTGTCTACATACTTCACAACGGTGTGGCTGTGTTGTGGGGTTATCGTGGGACCCATCACACAGCCAAAACGGTTCAGGTTTGGTGCAGCCATCGCTGATCGGGAATTCATGAGCTGCCCAAACTGGTGGGGTACGTACATAGCCTTTGAAGGGCCCACCAGCTTCATGTTGCCCTACAAGGCTCCAAGCAGGGAGCAAACTCTGGTTTGGTACATGTTGGCAGACGAAGCACCAGGCGGGGAACAAATATGTATGGGAATCGAACACTACCTTCTTTCTTCTTGCTTTTTTCTTTATCTACACAAGAACCCCACGGCTGCATCTCGCCCTACAAAGCTCCAATCAATACTCAACCACCGGAGTGTTTTGTACATGCACCCAGAGCACACAGCAGCGGAGAGCAGTTGAGGCGGCGAGCAGCAACATCAAGTATTCCTGCCAGAAGACCTCGAACGCGCCAAGTCGGAGTGGGAACATTGCAATCTCACTGGTGGGGCACATCAGCCTTTCTTACCCCACCAGTTTTATGTCGTCCTGCAACGCTCCAATCGATATAGGACATGCACCAGTGAGTTGCTGCGTTACAGAGGTATTATGGGACCCGTCGTGAAGACGAAATAATACAGGTTTGGCGCTGCCACTCCTGGTGGGGAGACGTTCGCAGCTACCCCACTGGTGGGGTACATAGCCTTGCCTACATATAGCACCACCTCCACCTCGACGTACAGAACTCCGATCGACACAGGACGTATTCGTGTGTGGCAGGGCGGTCGTCGGAATCGTCATTATGCCCAAGGAGCTTCGTTTCGATGCTGCCTGCGCCGGCGGGGGCAAACTGTGCATGTGCCCACCGGCGGGGTGGATATGCCAAATATTCCCCACCACCTGGATCGCAACCTAACCAGGACTTGCAACACAAGCACAAGCATGGTGGCAGGAATCATGGGTTAATGTACACACAGTACACACAACAGGCAGCAGCTGAAGAAGAGGGAGAGGACGAGGAAGAGGTAATTCAACAACCACTCCGGGCGGCCTCAAACACGTCAAGTGGAAACGCGAAACTGTTTGTGTCATCCACGCATGTTTGCGTTACGCGCGGAGCAAAAAAATGATCCCGACGTGTTACACAGAGCAAAATAAAGGGCGATTGACAAAATGGGGTATACCCCGCGTGTTTGGGCACAAAATGGGGTATTCGTTTTTTCGGTATGGGGCGCAACGCCTGACGCCGGGTAGGCACATACACAGCAGAGTGCACGTCAACACGTTCTACAACAGATACAATCAATGTCAATGGAGTCGCCTGGAATAGCCTATTTTGCTCCTGTCGACGGCCCCTTCCAAACGTACGATGAATTCGTGTGTCCTTGTCCCCGATGATGCCAGGCGTCGGGTCTCTTTTGTTTTGGGAAGCATGTGGAGAAACCAATTGTCTATTTTCCACTTCACGAGTTTCAGGCTGACCGGAGTGGTCTTATGATCTGTCCCCCCAGTCCTGTCCCTCTTCTCAACCACACATTCAAGCCACCTTGCTTGTGCTTCTGTTGCAAGTCCTGGTAAGGTTGCGATCCAGGTGGTGGGGTATTTCAGGCATATCCACCCCACCAGTTAGATGTCGTCCGACCGTTGTTTGTCTCTCCATTGCAGTTTTGTAGGGCTACATATGTACAACGAGTGGGGCAGGGGCGCCTGATGAATTTTCCCATCAGCGATGGCTGCACCAAATCTGAACCGTTTCGGCTGTAGGATGGCTCACAGCAACACAGTTGTGGATGTCGTATGCCGACTGGTGCCTTGTAGGCGATATACAGCTGGTGGACTGTTGAGACACAAACCCCCCACCGGTGGGGTTTTTTGTAGAATCCCCCACCGGGGGGGATTTCAACACGCCGATTTGCAAACGACAGAAGCAACAGAGCTCAGGCTCCGCCCAGCACGCTAGCTACCCCCGTCAGCACGAGCCTACCACAGGCAAACAGATATCGAAGCGAACAGCTCAGAGGTAGGGCGTATGTAAAAGGTTCCGTCGCGATCGGCGTTTTCAACCGCTTAATCTGAGTGTGAGAGGGTGATTGTTACGGCGTCTGTCCTGAAAACCTGCCTCGTTCGTGTTATGTGAGAGCAAAAGACGAACGAGCCAACGATGAATTAAGAGATCTTCAGTTCGATGGCTCAAGATACTAGGAAGAGGTTAATTTGGCAGAGCAGTGTGGTGGAACCGCACGGGCGACGCGTGAGTGAGGGCTTGCACATCTGGACGAACGTTGCGCGAGCAGACAAAAATGGGCAAAGAGTCACGTGCGTGACGTCACACTGTGTTACCTCTGAAAAAAGAACCCCAAAAAAGACCAGAGAGAGGCAGTCCCTTCTTCGCAATCACTTTTAAATGGTACATGCGGCTCTTTCGTTTACGTCGATGGACGGTCCATCTTTGGTTGCCACCTACAATATATAGTGACAAATAGAGTACGGTCGTCTTCCTTCTTACTTTATTAGAATACAGACTCCTGTCAAACCCTCACTGTCATCCGCCTCGTTGTGGCCGCCCGCTCCATTGGGGGCCGGGGGGCCAACCTTAACCCTAGCATATCTTGCGCCCGCGTTCGCGATGCACCCAGCGAGTGCATGATGCGCTTGGGCAAGAATAAATTGAAACGATCCCGCGCATTGGCTCATATACCACCGCTAACTTTGTTTGGGGACAAGAAAGTTCCGTGCTTGCACAACGTGGTCGCCTACACCCACCCACCTTATAAGTTTCCACTATCGTCCCGTTTGTCCCAAGAATCCCCTGGCTGATGAGCTCTTCAATTACTCTGAACGTAGGGTTGAGAAGCCTCTCATGTTCCCCGTTTGTAATGAATGTCAAATTGCTCCACTTCTTGCTGGCGATAACTGCCAGTACGTAAAGCAAAGGTGGCTTCACGCGCAAGAAAAAACGAGGCCGAGAACATGAAAACGAAACATTGGCATGAGAGGGAAATGCCATGTGCAAACTGTGATTTCTGAGCGTTGGTTCCGCGGCCGTTTCTGCCACTGTGAGGGCGGTCAGTGAGATGAAACACACGCATTGCACTGTGCTGTTCCCATACCGCGTTGAACTGAACCACTTAGACGCTTTGTGTGGCTTTTTTTGTGAGCAAAATGAGAACGAATTGACGCGCCTTAGAGCTTGTCTTCTGATATACCATCGTGAACGGGAATGAACAGCCACAAAGAGAGCTATGCAACTTCCGGGTCATGCTGTTCACTCTGCAAAATATATACGTTACCTGGCCGTACGTCTGGAAGTGGAAGTCCTTTCTCGGCTTGAAAACATCCCCGGATCGAAAGTGAAAAACTAGTGATCTAGCCCTTTTTGTTTCGAGCGGCGAGGTTGACCCGGCCACTAATAGACCGGGTTCCTCCTCATCTGCGGGGAGTCGGTGTCGTGGTGTTGAACAATATTCTTCTCCCCCAAACGATCCCTGGAAGTACACGGCCTCGCACCCTCTCATCTTCACATTGTTCATGCATGCCTGAAGGTCTTCGTGATTGTCTGCACAACCAAACGATGATGTCACGCACGAGGAACACCAGAAATATGGGTTCGTGGTTTTTCCCAGGTTCTTATTTCGGCGTGTACGCCGAGCAATGAACGAAACGAGAAACCCAACCCTCGGGAACGGCTCGGGTGCGAATGATGAGCATATTTATTTCCGTGTCTTGACGATGACACTGCATGATATCCTAGGAGCTGTTATTCCATCGTTTTCTTTTCGGGCCTTACCAATGTCAGCCGGACGGCCAAGCGAAAGAATGATACAATGATGGGCAGCATTTACAGCACATTCCCAAAGGACGTATTAAGTACGTACCGGGTACTCCAGAATCCGTGCAAAATGTTCGTGGTTATCTGCAAGTGAATCGCTACCGACCGGACTGGAGAACGGAAAAAACACACAAACATACATGTTCAGGTTTGTGTCCATCGAATGCTAGCTCTTGAACAACCCCTGCCTGTTCGATAAACGTTGGCCACCACAGCGTTCCACAGCGAGACCCTGCCCGATACCGTGACAGCAACCAAACCATTTTCCTACCACTCATGAAGAACGCCTCCCGTCCGTCCATGACCCTCTCTCGCGGACAGACGTCAGGTCGGCCCTGAAGATGTTCGAAACCCGTTTTCACGTGCTGCTGCCCAGCACGTTCATTGTTGTATTCTGACGTGAAACCGAAGAGGTTGGTGGACGAGTTGAACTGTTTCCCGCTTTCTGTTGGCAAGCGCACGTCCTTGACGGGAAGCTCAAGCTGAAACGAGTACCACCAAACAAGCAGCGTGAATGGGAAGATGCAAAAAGGTTAAGGTTGATTGAAACCTTCGTTGTTGTGATTGAGCGTGAACTACATGCTTTGTGTGGACCTAATACTCGGGACTACGCATAGCATTCGTGTATTCTGTCTCCATCCCGAGGATCAACTTAAGGAGTGTTCGATTAGATTAGGCCTCCTGCGCCGGGCAGGAGTGCTCGCCTGAAATGTTGCACCGCGCTGATCAAGCACACCTGGTGTTTCCCATCGCGGAATGCGCACCAATCAAGGATCAAGGTATTGTACAGGTATCATGCGTGATGTGTCAACGCTCCGCCAGGTGGGCGGGGTGGCCTCGAGAATATCGTGGCCGAAGCTGCTCCCTATGTTTCGGAGGTGAAATACGACGTGTCATTTCTTGCTTGCAAAACATTTCCAAGACCTCCGACGAGTTCCGTGGTTCGCGATTTGTCCCAATTCTTGAATACATCCATCTAATCGTTGTTCTGTTGTATCTGTCTTCATACCAAGGACATGTGATTTAAAAAGTGGACTGGATGAGGCCTCCTGCGCCCGACTGTAGTCCCGCCCATTGTTCGTTGCATCCGTTGGCTTTACAAAGTTTGACCGCTCGTCCGGCACAATATGGTCTCACCCAACTTCATTTATACACGTCGTGGCACCGGCGTCAATCGATCCGCACATGAGGTAAGCTCTTGTCGGAACACTGCCAGAAGGGCGTTAAGGTCGGCGTAGCGGTTTTCACAGAATATCTCTCAACTTTGCACACACCAAGGAGTGGTGATTACGAGAGCACGTCGCTACTGACTCCAGACGCCAACCCCCGACCTCCAGCATACGATCCCACCGTCGTTCCCGCGATGGTTTGACCGAGAGAACCTCCCGCGCGAAAGGGACACACTGTACCTCGCATGGCGCTACGTACGTCGTAACCATACGAAAGGCACAAAGTTCGAAAAGACATGGTCTGCCGACACCACTGCCGCTACGCTAGATGCCCAATCTCCCAAACCACTGGCAGTCATGCTACACCGCCCATGGGGCGCCCATGGGCAGCCCATTGGCACTTCACGGACTGTCCCTTAGCTTCCCATGGGTAGGCCCATGGGCAGCCCATGAACTGTCCCCGAAGTGCGCACCGCGGGCCGTTACCTAGCACTTCGCCACCGGCACATTAAACTAGCACTTGGCCAACCAGCGCCAACCTAGCACGTTTCGTGTGGGCTTGGGGTTAGGGTTCGCGGTAGCGTTAGGGTATTTAACTCTCATAGTGCCCGTTCTAGAGCAGATCGACTGTTGTTTCGGCGTAACGTCGTTCCGGTTGGAGGGCACTCACTCATCGACGGTCCATGGGCGGTCAATGGGAAATGACCATGGGCTGCTCACGGGCTACACATGGGCATTTCCAATGGGCGGATTATCAAAACTGTAGAGAGTGTGAAACACGCTCGATGCTCACATTGGGGACCAAACGCATAACCGACAATCAGGCCATGAACCTCAGGAGAGTCTGACTCTCCGTTGCGACTCCAACGTAGACCGCAGTTTACCCGCTCGGGAAACATCGAAATGACTTCCAAGTAGGTCGTCAGTCCTAGCGAGGGGCACCCTTACGCTAATGGTGGAACAGCGCAGAGCTAGCATGAAGTGTGTCTGATTACGCGAACGTATTGTACGAGCGCCCATCGTATTTCAAACTACTTGACTGGACTCAAATTGGTCAGGTTACATATTTCGTCCAACACACAGACCCCAATCGATGCAACATAATCAATGCGTAGAGGGCAGAACATGTCGGACAGTAGGTGGATGTAGGTCCTCACGGGACACAATTTCTGATCGAATCAAGTTTACAGACAAATCTTGTGTAGCCAACTTACCACTTTCACTTGGCAGCAGAACGCCATTGAGAACATGCTCGATATCGCCACGTAGTGATTCCCCGATCGTCCTGAGGAGGAATACGCGGGGCACCTTAGAATTAGCTATCGTATGATTATGATAAACCCTAGTAAACCGATGTCACATGGGTGGAACGGGTGAAGCAGCGTTTGAGCCATGCTCGAAATTCAGAATCATAATGAAAAACGTATGGCCTGGCTTACGGCGGTTGGGAAAACAGACGAGACTATTTGTGTTCAAATTGGAATTTCGATTACGTTGACTACAAAAAATGTAGTTGAGCTCGGTGCCGGATATTTAGACTACATCCAAGAAGAATTTTCATTGGTTTTCGATCATACTTTTCTTTTCATTGGTCTTCGATCGGTTGTTAGTGGTTCCGATCACGGAGATTTGCTTGAAAGGGATTTGATGGTGACGATGAACCAACCAGCTTCTTGGTCTTTGACTAATTCGACAACGTACAGATATTCTACTCATCTCAGTTCGGGAGTAGTACACACACTACCAGCAAACCCGAACTGTGTCTAGATTATCATTTTTCCGTTCAATTCAACCAGAGCATCTATCAGAGCACTATCTGAGAATACCGCAGCTAGCATCCCTAAGAAGAGGGAAATGCGTACTACTCAGCCGGAAACGCTCACCTACTTGGTAGAGGGAAGTGAGAGTCAAAACACCACCCGGCCAGGACGGGGTAGACTTCCTGATGTCCGCCTCGTCCGGTGATATGGCATGCGGGCATCCTTTGTCCTGCTCGTTATTCGCGCAAGAAACAACAACCGACAACCCACGAAAACAGCACGATTGGTGCATGTGCACATGGGCAGAGCTCGACGAGAAAAATTATCGAAAAAGATGGCGTGTTGTTTGCATCCATGTTTGGTTCGGAAATTGTCCCATGCGTTCTGGCGTGGGCGCAACGGAAAAAGCAATGGCAATTTTCGATTTTCAACGAAGAATCAGTAAGCACAGCTCGGAAACCTTTACCTAGTGATAAAGCTGGAACGGTACCGCCAGCGTAGCAAACGGCGTTGACATGTTGTCTAGCCTTCTTCGCGGCTCGAATGGCACGAGCTTGGTTGTAACACACAACAAGGGGACGGTGTGCTTCCTTCTGCCCCTGTGACGGGTCTCGAACTTTGTGCGGATTAATTACGCTCGGACACCTCATCAAGAGCAGACGTGCAGGATACGAATTTTGCAATGGCGCAATCTGGCCACCCACGCCTCAACTTCTGTAATTTTAATTGCCGCGCATTCTTATCGATTTTAATTGCTGCGCCAGAAAAACGTACGCATGGCCAGTGATGATATCATCACCATGACATATGTGGGGCAAAAAGCTGGAGCCATACGCCGCTAAGTCCACTAGCTAAGGAACACCAACAAGGCGTTTCCTGGTTCAAGAAGTACCAACACGCCCCGGAACCAAAAGAAGTACTATGCACACCGACGACAAGAAGGTTTTAGCCAAGCAGCGAGGTTGTGAGAAAATGGAGAGATTAGCGCAGAGGGGTATCGAAGGGGGTGGCACCAACATGTCCGACACACCTGCACCACGACTCCATCTCGAACAGCGATCACGCCTGCGTCTTCCGCCCTGCTTGCCATAGACAACCCAGTTCCCACCTGTTGAAAGTGTCGTGGGCACCCTCTTTGTAGGAAAGCCATTGACATGGGCGAAAGGCAACCACTGTACCAGGAGCAAATTCCATGCGAGTCCCCTCTGCCTCCAACGCTTTGCCGTCTCTTGCCGCATGCGAAACCTTAGACCTAATCCGTGATACCGTCTTGCGTCCTCCCTCACCGTTGGGTGAGGAGAAAACATTCCCAGTCAAACAGTAGTTCTTGCTGGGATTGGGAGGGATGAACATGCAAACATCGTGGCCTCAAACTCAAGTATTGTCGCCAGTATGTTGACGATGGCAATCGCTTGCACTTACCGTAAATATTGGAATCATGGTGACTCCCAATATTTGCCATATGTTTGCCCACATCCTGACCGGAGCGAGTGTCGCCTGCTCTTCAAGCCTTTCTCGGGAAAACGCTGTGGAAGCAAAATGAGAAGTTGATTCAAAGCAAATGTCAGTACATCGAACAAAATGTTGTTCTCGCACAAGCTCGGAAGATCACGCGTAGTTTGGCACAGGAAAGGCAACGTGGGAAAAGATGCCTCGACTCTGTCAACTAATGAGAGTCCCTGTGACATTAGACCTCCCCCTATCCTTTTTCGCTCACGGCCGAGCGTCTGCAGCTATTTCTAAGAGTAATCTGGAAAGTTGGAACAATGCACCTCGACCGAGATCGAACTCGAGACCCTATCCACAACGTGCTTTCGAGGTTACGATCTGAACCACGGGGGCGACAGGTTTAACGTTTGCGCGACATGGTGATCTAATACTCTTGGAAATTACGTTGGAAATGACATACAGCCCGTACGCGACGTTACTGCGGTACTCAATCATAAACAACCTGGTGTTAGGCGTGGCCGCTACGCCGATGCGTTTAGATTTTTACAGCGGTTATGCAGAAGAACCGTGATAGCCGGAAACGCACGAAGAAACGAAGGATAGGGTACAAGGGTTTTGAGGGGCTTCCGCCGCCACGCTGAGACAAGTGTTCTGCAAGATGTTGAACATCGACGTTCGTTTATTTATACTTGTCATTGCCCTTATTTGCGTGGGGTAATCTGTTGCGACACCGAAAGGAGTGTACGAAGGGATGCGCGCTCGACCTTCTCGACATGCGCATACTTTATGGAGTGTAACAGGTTGTTGGTGGGCACACGAGAGCGCAAACAATTCATAGCCTGGTTTGATGTGTTGTTGGTGTAATGGTTTTGAAGTAAGACATAGTGGGATCGTAACTCGCTTCGCTGGCAGACACTTCACGGGGTTTCGGGCGCGGTGCAGTGTGCGGTCACAGTGCCGCGTGACTCGATTCGCTCGAAGGCACTTCACGGGGATTCGAGCGTCGTGCAGTGTGCGTCACAGGAGTGCCGTGTTGCTCGCATGTACTCAACGACAGTTCATGCGCGGCAGCGTCATGTTCCCCTCTCCAAGAGTTCCTTATGTGCTTCGTCACACACCGGTGTGCCTTTCTTCTCTTTGTTCGTAGCCACTTGGCTATGTTGCACAAGATGATTAATGGTTCGACCGCTCAGCGAGTGCATACTACCCCCCACACACGTTGCCTCACCCAAACCGTTGTACAGACCTCCAGGCCATACACCCGCCTACCAGTCTGGGACGTTGTATGACCATCATTCGTCCCACAGTGTAGCGTACGCAACTCCCCTACCCCTCACATTAACCGTAACAGTGGCCGGCGCCCTTTGTCGCATGTCGGCTAGAGCTTTGATGGCATCGATGGGCTGTTGGAACGCCTCCTTGAAGAAATCTCTTGCTAACTCTCTGTCCTGCAAGACATCGTCCGGTAACACGAGGAAGAGGTAACCCCCCCAGCGTGGTTGGCTGGGTTCATCACACGCGTAGTATGCTTGGTCCATCGCACGCGTTGTCTGCTGGGTCACGATACGAGTGCCGGGGGAGGGTAACCCCCCCACCGGACCCCCCCCCTCGAGCCAGCGCATGTTCTGCCAAGTCATAATATGTTTACTTTATTTTAATAATGACTAGAGTTAAGGATTGGCTCCCCTCCCTTACTGGGCGGGCGGCCATAACCAGACGGATGATGGCAAGGGTTTTGGAGGGAGTGAAGTACACAGAGGGAAGACGGCCGTACTCTATTAACCTCTATTTCTAAAGCAGGGAAGACGGCCGTACTCTATTAGCCTCTATTTCTGAAGCGTTCAGTCTCTCCGACCTAAATCCGGCTTTGTCGCAGTAACCCTCTTCCGATCCCCCCACCCTTGCCCGACTGCCCCTCGAAAGCCGATCTTCATCTATGGCGCACGGCTCGTGACATCCGTACTATTGTTTGATAGGGCATCCCAAATCATGGCCAGCCGCCAATTTTGATCAACTCCGCTTGAAGTACGTGGCGTACGTCATAAATAAGCCCTGTATTATCTCGTCTTCACTGGTTTGCCGTGTCACGATCGTCATCGCTCTGTTAAGAAGACTCGGATTTTATGCCAGCTTTTGTTTGCAGCAATCAACAACCCGTTGTCGACCTACATCACGACACACCTTTCGCGATATCTTGAGTAGGTCGACTTCCGGGCGCAATAGCATACGCTACAAGATTGCGGCACATGCAACCATGCGCGCGCGCTGTTGTGTCTCTCGTCTTCACGCTGACCGGTTTGCCGTCTTCCTGTCTTCATCACTCTTCATCTGTCTTTTCGTCTTCTAGAGCAAGTTCGATAATCGAAACACAGAGGGTGTGGCTGACTGTCACCAACACACCGATATCGTCCTACGGTGCTCTCCTCACGATATCTTGAGGATACCTCGTATCTTGAGGATGCCTCGGTAGGCATCGTTATTCGTGGTCCCTCGCCAAATTTAATCACCCTCCGAGCGCAGTGACTACGTCACAAACGTGATCGGCCCTGTGCGACGTTGTGCGCTGTTTCTCTCCTTTCATATGTTCACCGTCTCAAATGTCTTTACCGCTTTTGTTTCTTGTCGACCCATTTCGGAAAAATAAAAAACGAATTTCAGTGTCCGTTCAGCAAACATTGGCATCATGTCCGTTCATTGTGGTCGTAGTTTAGTCATTGAAAGCGTGCAACGCGACCTATTGCCCACAAGTCATAGTACGACCAAACCGCGCAGGGTGCGCCGATAGGCAAGCCTTTCGGGTAGGCCAGCCGTGTGAGACCATGTGCGTTCATGCGCGCTTTTCGTGGCGCTTTCTCTTGTGTAGATTTCCGGGAACAGTTGAATCTCAGGTCCTGTAGCATCAGCCGAAACATTTCCGGTGTACAAACGCCCAACAGAGTACAGCACGGGCAATGCTGCAAAGGTTGGATTAGATGCATTCACATTCAATCCAGGTGTCCCTGTAGAATGCGATAGCACACCCGATACACCACACGAGCACTTGTGTGGTAACGTTTGAACCAATTGGTCACCACGCGGGGTGTGATATCTCGCGGAACCTGCGGTCAACATATTCAAACATTCAAATTGTTATGGGCAGGTGTGGTTGTCCAACGTCCCGCAATCATGCACGTACACAGCAGGGAGGCAGCAGCCAGAGAAGCTCCCCAGCATCTCAAGAACGAGGGCCTCGCTCCCCAACGCATCTGATAGCCTGATCGATTACCACATCGAAAAAATAATGTGATTTTCACGTCGTGTCGTGGCGGTCGCCTCACTCTATTTTGGCATGTACACATTAAATTTACATGTCGTTCAAATATATCATTGTGTGTATGCGTTATGTTTACTTGCTCTCTCTTTCACACACACGACACCCTTCGGCATACCGTTTTTTTTTGTTTTTGTTATGTTTTGATGGGAAGACTGCGAAACCCGTACCCAACACGTGCCAATATAATCATGAATGCGACAGCAGTTCGTGCTTGTTTGTGTGAGATGCGAAATTGGTACCGTCAGCTGCTCACCCTCTTACCTTGCAAGCGTGGACGCCATGACTCTCAACCTGGTGGGCGTTGTCAGAGCTATCCGCTACCCATCGTATTATTGGCAAGTTTGTGTGATGGTCGTTGGAGCGAGCGCATTGTAAAAATGAGAAGGTTTGTTCGAAGAGCAGATAGAACAACCTGGTGTTTATTTTGTAACAGTCGAATTAGAATTTGGCTTCATTTTCTATCGGAAACCCAGGGTCACGGTGTTTGGATTTATCATTGTAGTCTATAGCTGGGGATGTCATTCCGTGGTCGAGTCCACGCAGGGGCTGTAGCAAGGTCGGGTAACGTGTGAGAGCTACAGAGCGCGTGAAGCAACGGAAGGACAGCAGCAGCCGCCTAACGCCGTAGCGGCGGCAGTTTAGAAAATGGACGGGACGGGACGCGGCGCAAGCATTGGGGAAGCGACCAGCGCGCGCTCGGGACCCTCCATATAAGGTGTGTAATCGGGTCCGTGTCCAACATCCATCGTGTCTGCCGTGCTCCTTCCCGCGTCCCGCTACTCTTGTGGTAACCGCAATGTGTTGCATGTGCGCTGTCAGCCTCAGCACGAGACGCGCCAATGAGTGGAAACAACCGTGCTACATGTGTGCTGTCAGCCTCAGCACGGGACACGCCAACGAGTGGAAGCACCCGCGCTGTTGGCGAGTAGAGTTCACCGAATTCAACGCATCGGAAGGAAAAAGACCACAAATAATGTATCAGTACGGGACGCGCCAATGAGTGGAAGCACCCGTGCTGCATATGTGATGTCAGCCTCAGCACGGGACGCGCCAATGAGTGGAAGCACTCGTGCTGTTGGCGAGTAGAGTTAACCGATCTCACCGAAAAACAAAAAAAAAACGTACACGTATCAGCACGGGACGCGCCAATGAGTGGAAGCACCCGCGCTGTTCGCAAGTGGAGTTCACCGTATCCAACGCATCGATAAAAACAACAAACACGTATCAGCACGGGACGCGCCAATGAGCGGAAGCACCCGTGTCGCTGCGAACTGGGGTTGCCCGAATCCAAGGTTAAAAAAAAAGAAAATCCATCGTTAGTGCTCTGAAGAGAGAGAAAAAAAAAGCACATCCAAAGTATGTCATCTGCGCACTCTCCATATTGTGAAGTCGCCTGGGCGTCAGCACGGGACACGCCAATGAGTGAAGCACGCGTGCGGTAGGCGTCTGGCATTACCGTATTGGATAAAGAGTAGAGGCGGGTACTAACCCTTGCGTGACTGGGTTCATTTGATTTTTGTTTTCATTTTCCCCACAACTGGCTCTCTGCCGTCAAAGATCTCCCAAGCATGCGTGTACACCCATAAATCACGGCGGCAAGGATGGTGCAGCAGTGGGTCCATGTGTGGGGCTCACAGGGATGGGGACGCGGTAAATGTAAAAGGGTGACGAACAGGAGTACAGTAGTACTACTGCTGTACAGCAGTAGCAGTTTTGCGAAAAGAATTAGACTGTACAGCAGCAGTAGTTCCTGAGCAGGTGTGC